TCATCACTGCTTGTATTTATTTTTCCTAGACCTTAGCGTAGTGCCTGGTAAATATTACTTGCTTACCAGATGCTCTATCTATCCATCCATTCATCTATGTATCCATTCATCTCTCTAACTATACATCCATCCACTTATCTAGTCCAACTCCTGCAGAGCTGGGAGTGGGGCCCAAGAGAGGACAATGCTTTGCTCAAGGTGACTGAAGCAGGCAGGTTCATTCACCTCATTCTTACACTGAGACTGAGCTAAGGCAGCATCAAATGGAGCCCACATCTCATAGACTCACAGATAGCGCTGGAAGGGGCCTCTGAGACATCATCCAACTCCTTCATTTTCCAGAAGAAGAAACAAGTCTGGCATCAGGGTCAGAGGAGGGATAAGGACCCAGGTCTCCAGTCTCCCAGTCCATTGCCCTTTCATCCAGGTGACTAAAATTCACCCTCCCTACCCTAGGGTACTCAAGCTCTGCCAGCAAAGCATCTCCTGGTCTCAGAACTAAGGACAAGCAGCTGAGCAGGGAGTGGGGCCTTTGGTCCTTCCAGGCTCATTCTCAGCCCAAGCTCATCGTCCACACCCACTCCTAAACCTCTACTCTACAGGAAAGTTTGAGTAGTTTAGGAGGGCTAATCTCTTAAAGAATGAAATGGTACTTGGAATGGGTAGGACTTCCACCAGGAACAGAGGGGCTAAGGAGCTGTCTCCCTACTCTACCCTCACTGTCTGCCCCCCAACCCCCAATTTTTCTCTTCATAGGGATGGTGTGCTCAGGGTGTGCTCAGGAGGGGTATTCAGGCATAGCTGAAGATTCGTGGACTTGGGGAAGTGTTTGCTTCTCTCTAGGTCCCTTAAGAATTTCCTCCACTCTGGGGCAGCTAGGTGGCACAGTGGATAGAGCACTGGCCCTGGATTCAGGAGGACCTGAGTTCAAATCTGGCCTCAGACACATAACACTTACTAGCTGTGTGACCCTGGGCAAGTCACTTAACCCCATTGCCTAGCCAAAAAAGAAAAAAAGAATTTCCTCCACTCACAAGGCAACCCATTATACTTTCAACATGGAAAGATTTTGAAGGCAAGGAGGGTAAAATTTGAGAGAAACAAAAAAAAGTCTCACCCAGAGAAAAGGGAAGCAGAACCATGCCAGGCAAGGCATATACTGCCGTAGGGGGTAAGGTACCATCTTTCTCCCCCATCCCCATTTTTGCACATTTATTTATTTTATTTTTAATTTAATTCATGGAAAATAAAACAAGCATTTCTATAACATAATATAATTAAAACTATGAAACTGCAAATCTATTATGTAAAGCTTGCTATTCCTTTTAAATATATAATAAAGTTATCATGTACATTTCTTTTTTTTCCCTTTCTTGCCCCCTTCTTCCCCCTAGATATGGCTACCTTGAGACACAAATAGGTATGGGTGTGTGTGTGTGTGTGTATGCATATACACACACACACACACACACACACACACACACACACACATATATATATGTAAAATTATTCTATGCAAACTTCTATTTATCAGTTCTTTTTCTGGATGCAGAGAACATCTTTCTTCATATGTCCTTTATAGTAAATTTGGATATTTATAATAGAATGACTTATTTGCTCAATGTCATTCTTAAAACAACATTGCTGTTCTCTATATGATATTCTCTTGGTTCTGCTCATTTTGCTTTTCATTATTTCGTGCAAGTCTTTCCGTGTTTTTGTAAGATCATTGAGCTCATCATTTCTTATAGCACTGTAGTATTCCATCACAATCACATATCTCAACTTGTTCAGCCATTCCCCAATTAATAGGTATCCCTGCGATGTCCAGTTCTTTGCCACCACAAAGAGAGCTGCTATAAACATTTTAGAACATATAGATTCTTTTCCTTTTTCTCTAATCATCTTTGGAAATAGACCCAGTAGTGGTATTGCTGGATCAAAGGGTATAGGCAGTTTAAAAACTGGGCATTATTCCAGATCACTCTTGAAAATGATTGGATCAGTTCACAATTCCAGCTACAATGAATTAGTATCCCAATTTTTTGACAATCCCTTCAATATTTGTTGCTTTTCCTTCAGTCATTTTAGCTAATCTGGTGGGTGTAAAATGATATCTCAAGGTTGTTTTAATTTGCATTTCTCTAATCAGTAATGCTTTAGAGATTTATCTGAGAAAGTATCTATAAAATTTCCCCCAATTTTCTGCTTTCCTTCTGATGTTGCTGACATTTATTTTATTTGTACAAACAGCTTTTAATTTAATGTAATTGAAATTATCCATTTTACACCTAACTTTGTTCTCTCTGTCTCTTGTTTATTCATGAATTGTTCACCTATTCATAGGTCTGGTAAGTTATATATGTTCTATGCTCTTCTAATTTTCTTGTGATATCTCTCTCTTTATATAAGTTATATATCCATTTTGACCTTATTTTGGTAAATGGTGTAAGATATAGGTCTATGCCCAGTTTTTGCCATACTGCTTTCCAGTTTTCCCAACACTTTTTTTTTATCAAGTAATGAATTCTTATCCCAAAAATCTTAAGTCTTTACACTTGTCAAGTAAAAGGTTATTAATTTGTTGTCATAAATTGTATGTCCACTCTGTTTCATTGATCTTTCTATTTCTTAGCCAGTACCAGATAGTTTTGATAATTACTGCCTTATGATATGATTTAAGATCTGATGCTGCTGAACCTCCTTCTTTTACTTTTTTTCATTAGTTCCTTTGATATTCTTGAATTTTTGTTTTTCTAAACTAATTTTGTATTTTTTTCTAATTCAGTAAAATAATTTTTAGTAACTTAATTGGGATGGCACTCAAAATAAATTAGTTTAGATAAAATTGTCATTTTTGTTATAATAGCCCTGTCTGCCCATGAACAATGACTATTTCTCAAATTATTTAAATCCTCCAGGGGATACCTCATATAGACAGATAAAAGCATCAAAGGCCTGTATTATCTGGAAGCATCTACCCTCATCCAAAAAAATTACCATGAAAAAGTATCCTATATCATTCAAGACCCCATCCTGAACCAAGACAAAGGCTTACACTGCTGCTGACAAGTCAGTAATTATATAAAGAAAAAAATCCATAGAATAGGGTCACAGACTCAAAGCTGGAAGGGACCTTAGAGGCCATGTCATCGTAAATCTACAGAGGACCTAGAACAGAACATTAGAGTTGAAAAGATCCTTAGAAGATATTTATTCTGAATGTCAGAGTGAAGAATGACCTCAGAACTAAATCACTCAACAGTCATATACTGCTTTGAGGCTTGAAAGCACTTTCATCACAACCCTGTTCAGTAGGTTGTACAGGCATTTGTACCTGTTTTAAAGTTGATGAAACTGAGGATTTTTAAAGGGTTAATAATTTATCTGTGATTACCCAGGAGGATTCAAAACCAGGTTTCTTGACTCCAAATCCATTGCTCTATCCATTTCTTCAAAGTAAAATGGAATATCAAAGCTGGGAGGGGCCTTAAAATATAGAAAATCAGAGATGAAAAGGACCTTAGAACATAAATTGTCAGGATCCTTAGAACGCATCGTGCCAAAAGTGGGAGGGGACCTAGAATCTAAGACAGAGAATGAATGTAATTTAAGGGACTTCAGAACATAGACCATAGAGTGTAAGGGCTTGAACTTTAAAGCACAGAATATAAAATGTTAGTGCTAGAATTACAGAAAGGGACTTGAAGGCATAAAATCTAGGATGAAAGAGACTGAATGAACTGGAAAACACAGATTGTTAGAGCCACAAGGAACCTCAGAGATCACTTTGTGAAAATCTCTCATTTTATACAGGAACAAATGGAGGCCCAGAGAATGAACAAATAAATAATGAAGTACCTAACCAGATAGATGAATGAATAGCTAAAAAGAAAAGAAAGCCATTTATTAAGCACATACTATATGCCAAGCATTGGGCACAAAACACAAAAATGAGACAGTTCCTGTTCTCAAGGAGCTTACATTCCAATAGGAGATACAACAGGAAAGTGAAGTGGTGGCCAGGGAAGGGAGCTGTGGTTTGGGAAGTCAAAAGATAGTGAGTAGGGTAGTCCATTGACATGCTATTCCCAGAAGCAAAATCACAGGCTCAGAGAAAGACTTAGAAAGGAAAGAGAGTGTTTGGGAGCAGGGGGAGGAGGTGGCTGATGTGCTCAAAAAATCAGAGTGGAAAGTAGCCCAGTGAAGAGGAGGCTGCATGGTCTCAGAGAGGGTCAAGGCTAGTGGCATGGCCTGGAGGTCCTTTTTGGAGAGTGGGGCAGCATCAGGAGGCAATGTGGAAAATGACCAAGTGGAGGCTGAAAGAGAGGGGGAAAGGATTTGCCTGTAGTCACCCAGGGGGTTGATGGCAGAGCCAGGTCCAGAAGGTAAGTCTGTCAACTCTCAAAGATTCTCCATTCATTCCAGTCCTGTTAAAGTCAAGACGCTTCTGGAAGGGACTGCCATATTAGGCCATCCTCTGTCATTCCACCGTAGCAATGAGTTGGTCAGATCCTTCCCAATATTACGCAGCGGAGATCCAGCATAGAACACCAGACAGGCCTTTCTATCCAGATAACCAGACTCTAATACTCCCCAATGAGCTGAACTACCCTGCCACACAGACAGCTCACCTGGCTCTCTGCCCAACTAACCCCTGCTTTTAAAATACTCAGCTACATAGTCATAGTATAAAGGCCAGGTTAATACTAGCCCAGGAGTCTGGGTGCCTTCTACCCTTATAAGTTACCTCTGGGCAGAGATGGACTGGGCAGCTAGGCAGTTCAGTGAATAGGGTGCTGTCCTTCGGTCAGGAAGACTTGAGCTTAAATCCAGCATCGGCAACTATATTACTAATGCAATGTGCCTTTGGTTCACGTTGCAATTACAATAATATACGCTCACATAACAAATAAGAAATATAGAATGAAAATTATAGTTTATTGCTTATCAATATAGATAAAAGTTTATATACATGACCAAATCAGGGAAGTACTTACATCTGGGTCAGTTAGGTGGGAAGTCCTGTTTCAGTCCTGATCAGAAGGTCCAGAGTGATACGTCCATCCTGCGGATGAGCCTTCAAATGATAAAAAAGGAACCTCCCGGTTTTATAAGGAAGTTAAGACAAAGAAGTCTAGGCATAACTTTATTTTGAAGGAAAAATCTGGCCAGGAGCCTGTCATTGTGGGAACACATCTGGAGCATAACAATGTTTTAAAATTAGTTGTTTTTCTCTTCTAGCCATGTTCCAGGCCATGGCCAACAGAGGTCATTTAAGGGGCACGTATTCTGATGCAGCCTATAACTTTTCCATGTGGAGGACTTATTTTATTTTATTTTCTATACAGAAACTTATTAGCAGTGTGACCCTGGGCAAATCACTTAACCTTGTTTGCCTCAGTTTCCTCATCTGTCAAATGATCTGGAGAAGGAAATGGTAAATCGCTTTGCCATTTGGCAATCCAGTATCTTTGACAAGAAAACCCAAAATGGGATCACAAAGATTCAGACACGACTGAAACCACTGACCAAAAACAACAGGGATGGAGCAGAGGCTGATGCTTCTCTTAAGGCCATTGATGGCAGCTATTGACTTCCTGTCCCCATCGCTAACACTCCAGACCCTAAAAAGCCTACCTCCCTTTCTGACTATACAAAGCAGTCAAGAAAGAGAAGTGGGTCACAGGAAGGAAAGTGATTTGCCCAGAAGTGGGTCCAGAGCAGAGTTACAGCTGATCCAGGAACAGAAGTCAGAGTTTCACGGAGCTGGGGTCCCTCATCTCACCCGTACAGACACACACAAAAGAAAAGAAAGAATGAACTACCCGATAGGAACCAAGATTTTATGTCTCTTTTTGTTGTTGTAGCAAGGAAGTGGAAACAAAATACAGTCTCTTCAAGTGGAGAAAGCTTAAACAAATGGTGGTATACACATGTATGGAATATTATTATCCTATATGAAGTGACAAATATGATATTGTGTGATTAAGGAAGAAAAATGTGGTTCAGATTTGCTCCTACAATAAGACATACTCCTAGAGAGGGAAGTGAAGGTAGCTTTAATTAAGATTATAATATAGGTATAGAAAAGGTAGATTTACAGCAAGATACAATTAGCAATATGACTATAGTCAGGCTAAGAATACAAAGGATAGTAATAATATAAGAAAACATCACCAATTCAGGGAAGCATCAACACCTGAAGTCCAAGCTGGGGATTCCTGGGGTACAGCTTTCAGGGTCCCAATTGGGAAAGTATCGGCAGAGCGTCCTCTCCGTGGGTGAGAATCCAAAGATGGCTTTCCCAATTAGGATTTAAATAGGGCCTCTAACAAAGAAGGCCCCGGGCCAGAGGTGTCCCCGATTCTAGTAGATGCTTTTACTTGGTCCAGGAACTGGCTAAGTTCCTGGAGCAAGCAAAACATCTTAGAATATTAATTAACTTGATATGTTCTGATGAACTGGCCAGGTTCCCAGAGCACATCCCCTGAGAACTGGCTAAATTCTCAGGTCAACATAGATAACCACACTCTGGCTTATAGCCCAATGTTTAGAGTCATACAGGGGACATGGAAGATCTTTCCTTATAAGATTTATCAATCAGATATATAAACTTATAAACTGACACAAAGTGAAATTGGCAGCCCCAGGAAAAGAAAATACACAGACTGCAAAAGAGTACTGGAAAGAATGATGATCAAAGAAATAGAAACAAGACCGGGGAATTACAATGACCAAGCCTGAGCCCCTAACAGAAGGATATATGCCTCCCCTCCTTTGTAGCACACTTTGGGGCTGGGGACGTGGAACACCGTATATCAGGTAGGATTTTTCACATGTCAGTTGTGTTTGTTGATCTGGATTTTTTTCCCCCTTCTTTCGTATTTTTTGCTAGAGGGGATGGGCTCCTGGGAGAGTGTTTTGGGTTGAGCCTGACTCAGGACAGTCTCGTTGTAATTCCAGTTTGATGTGAGAACATGAAGAAACACTCATTCAGCAGTTAACAGGAAGAGACTTCCTTAGCCATAGCAGCAGAAGGACATTCGATAAGGATTCACTGAGGAACATCTCAAGTTGATGCAGCCAAACTAAACCCCTCAGCCTCTGAGTTGCCCTCAGTCGTCTGCTAGCCAAGCATCAAAGTCCACCTTGGAACTCCCTGTGACTGTTCCATACTCTGGAAACCAGGAGGTGTATTTCAATAGTCTGAAACTTGAGTTTCCTGGGGCAGTTAAAGCCTGAGGTGTTTTCACTGCATTGTAAGGAAAAAATAGCTTGACCAGTCTTGAGAGTAGGGATATTGCTCCTAATACATGTAAGCTGGGGTGAAAGGTTTATTCAGAAATGTAGGTGATAGAGCTTCATTTCTTGACAAAGACATCTCCATGAGGTGTCTCACTTCCTCTCTTCTCATTTACCTCTGAACCCCCTGCAATCCTCATCATTCAACTGCACCTGTTTCCTCCAAAGTTGCCTATGACTGACTGACTGCCAAATCCAATGACCTTTCTCTCCCTTTTTATACTTCCTGACTTCTGAGCTGCCTTTGACGCCCTCTCCTCCTTGACTCTCCCTGCTCTCTAGGTTTTAGGGACATTGCTCTCTCCTGGTTCTCCTTCTGACGGGCTGCTCCTTCTCAGGCTCCTTTACTAGATCTTCATGGAGGTTTCATTCACTGATCGTTGGTGCTCCTCAATACTTTTTCCTGAGCACTCTTCTCTTCTTCTTCTGTGCTGTGTCACTTAGTAATCTTGATTCAGATGGATTTATTTATCATTTCTATGCAGATGATTCCCAGCCTTAAGCTCTGTCCTGAGTTCCAGTTCTGAATTGCTGATCTTTTTTAGATATCTTCAACGGGGTGTCCCACAGGCATCTTAATCTCCCTATGTCCAATGTGAACCCCTCCCCAAACCATTTTGAATCCCCGTCACCTGAGAAAGGCCTAAGACCAGGACTGGCCAATCAGGGGAAGTACATTTTGACTCACTCTGAGCTTAACCTACCAGAATACCTTGCATGCTCTGGCATAACAAACATGTTTTAGCTTTGCTCTCTGAGTAAACTCAAAATGCGCCTTCCTGTATCAGCAATTATAAGGCTGAATGGAGATGACCAGGAGTATTCTTCTGCCAAGGACAAGATGTCTTGACCCAGACACTATGTTGAATAATGGGACTTTTCTTATCTTGATAGTATATAGATACATGTTATGTTATATTATATCATGTCATGTTAGTGATAGAAGAAACACAGGCATCCTGAGCAAGGAAGGAAGGGAGGGGTGAGAGGGAATTGCTCTGAAGATGTAAAATCCCCCTTTGTCTATCTGTCCTCCCTCCCCAAGATGGTGCACAATCTGATATAGGCTATATATATACATATATGTACATTCCTATTAAACATATTTTCACATTAGTGATGTTGTAAGAATTAGAACCGATAGGAGGAACCACCAGAAAGACGAACCAAAACACAACAGAAGAAAAAAAATAGCAAATAGTATGCTTCGATCTGCATTCAAACTCCATACTTCTTTCTTTGGATGTGCATAGCATTTTCCATCATGAAGCCTTTGGAGACGTCTTAGATCCTCGTATTGCTGAGAAGGGTTAAGTTTATTAATATTAGTCATCGCACAATGTGGCTGTTACTGTGTACAACGTTCTCCTGGTTCTGCTCACTTCACTCAGCATCAGATCATATAAGTCTTTCCAGGTTTTTCTGAAGTCAGCCTGTTCATCATTTCTTATAGCACAATAGTATTCTATCACATTCATATACCACAACTTGTTCAGCCATTCCCCAATTAACGGGCATTCCCTCAATTTCCAATTCTTTGCCACCACAAAAAGAGCTGCTGCAAAAAAATTTTGTGCATATGGGTCCTTTTCCTATTTGTATGATCTCTTTGGGATACAATCCTAGAACTGCTATTGCTGGGTCAAAGGGTATGCACATTTTTACAGCCCTTTGGGCATAGTTCCAAATTGCTCTTCAAAATCCACTCCCTTCTTTTTTTTTTTTTTTTGATTGGGCAATGGCGGTTAAGTGACTTGCCCAGGGTCACACAGCTAGCAAGTCCCTTATTTTCCATATGCGTGTTTTATAACCTTCCGGTCTGACCACAGTTCTGGTTTAACCAGTTCATTTCCTGTTCATGTATAGTTCCAGCTAATGGCTAGCATCCAGGTTTCACAAGCTTGTTCCTTTGGTCCAAGCTATTTTCTTATGGACCCCTTGGTATTTTGTAAATGTGTAGTTCCTGTGGAAAAATAACTCTTCTATTGCTTCTTACAAGAACAACTCTTCCCCTCCCCCTCCTATTCTCTTTGCTTATCAGTGAAGTGATGAGGAATCCATCTGGGGGTCCTATTGTCCTGAAAGAATTCATTCAGACAGTTTACAAGTTAAAGAAAGGCATTTACTGGGGAGATGCACCCAAGCAGGCCTGCTTCCACAGGGGAGAAACAGAGCATAGGCCTTGCTCCCCGTAGGAAGCAAAGGCAGTTAGCCAGCCTAGAAGTATGGTTTAAATACAATTTTATGGAATGGGGGGGAAAGGGGACAAGAGAGTGGGAGGAGCAAGCATGGCTCCAAAATGCCTGGAATATCAAGTAGTCTGGAGGTGCTTTTATCATACAGATAAGCAAAGAGAATAGGAAAGGGGAGAGGAAGAGCTGTTCTGGAAATGCGGTGTTTTGTGAAAGCACACAGGTAAGTTCAAGGTGGGGGCCTCAATGCACTGTGTTCTTTGATCACTTTTATGGCTGGTCACCCCCCCGCATCTTATCTCATATCTCACATCCTGCATCCTGCTTGCTCCATCTGCTTCAAGCACTCCTTTCCACCTCATCTGAAAGACACGGATGAGAGCTTGTAGCCTAGTATTGGGTAGGACAGCCAGTCACAGGAGGACCCCTAGAATCCTAGGAGTGGGGGTATGAACTGGATGAGTGGGGCCCAAGGGGTTGTTACAGATGTGAGAGATGGCCTAAAGTGCAGTTCCCTCAGGCCTAAGTTATACTTTTCTAGAAAGCCCTGAGTTGAGTTTCCCCTTTCCCAAAAATCCACATCAGCACAGACAGTTCCTGGTCCCTCCCACTTCCTGGCACACGCCTACATCTAGTTCCCAAATGTTTGCTTCTCTTGGGTATTAGTTGCCGCATTTAGATTATATGCCTTGAATATCCAGCCAGTGGGGAAAAGAGGTGAGACAGTGGGAGGGGGCACACGTTAGGGCTATAAAACTTTGCTTCCCACAGCCAGCGGGGGGACCCCCTGGCTGTTACTGCTTGAGCAGCAAGGGCTGTGCCCTTTCTCATGAGAAAGAGTAAAGACCTCTTCTGATCTCTGATTCAGACTCCGAACTCTTTAAAATAGATTGCAATTGATATTTGTTGTTTCACCTGGCCTAGAGAGCCAGTCCTTGTAACAAAGAATTTAAAAGGAAGAAAGAAAAAGAGGAAGAAGAAGGGAGAAAACAGAACAATCAATATTCAAAAAATAATATTCTATGTGATGTTCCATATCCCTGAACTGGGAGATCTGAACCAATGTGTGTGTCAGTGAGAGGAGGGAGATGTGTTGTCATATTTCTTCTTTGAAGATAGACTTTTGGTCCTTAACAACACACAGTTTTCCTTTCGGGTGTGTTTTGTTCCTATTTTTCCTATTTTCTGTGGGCCCCATAACAACCCTATCAGTTGGGAACAAAGGACTATTTATCTCCTATTTACAGAGGAGGAAACAGCTTTTAACTTAATCTGTTGATTAATCCCTTAGCTATTAAGGGAGCAATTCAAATTTGAACTTGGGTCTTCCTGACTCCAAGCCCTGCACCATCTGTGTACCAAGCTGCTTAACTGCCTAGATTTATAACTGAAAGAGACCTAAGGGGACACCAGGTCTAGTCCCTTTACTTAGTAGCTCTCTAAATTAAGGCCCATGGAGGGTAAAGGGACTTCCCAAGGTCCCACAGGCACTAATGCTGAGGGGAAGGATGTGAACACAGGTCCTCTGACTCCAAAGAGAGTTTCTTTTTACTAGAATAATTTATAGGGGAGGACATTAAGATTCAGACAGGGAAGGGTCTTGTACAAGGTCACACAGCTCTGCCAGAGCCAGACCTCAAACTCTGAACACCAAGTGCAATGCTTGTTCCATTGTACTGGACATACTGATTGTCATAGTCTCAGCATTGGGAGGGCATCCCAGCCCTCAACAGAAATCCCCTTTCCAATATCCCCAGCAAGTCCCCATCCAGCCTCCACTGAGAGACTCCAACTCAGTTCTCCTAACTCTAAGACTGCTCTTCTGTTCATACCATGCTGCTTCCCAAGACGAATCCAAGAAATGGACGATGAACGGGAAACAGCATGACTGGTTTGTAAACAAGCTGGCAGAGATGCCACTTCTGACACTCCTTTGTATAACACAGCAGCTCACATGCAAGAGTTGACTTTTTAATGACAATTCAAAGATTTCCTTTGGCAAGTAGGACCGTGTGTCATCAGAGACGGAAAAGACACAGAAATATGTCTAGGGGATCTGAAGGAAAGAGAAACAAAGATCTGGGAATAGCGTAGGGCTAAATGAGAGGCACAGGGTAAGTGATTAAGAAGCCACTCCCATAACTAGTGATCTGCCAATGGATTGTTCCAGTTTTTTTCGGTAAATGCAAGATGAATAGCTAGAGGGAGAACAGACCTTTCTCTTCCTGATGGTATGAATTCTCTACCCTTTTCTGACTGAGAAGGAGCCTAGAAGACTGTTGATTATTCAGTAGAAACCAAGGTGAGTCACAGAGCCTTCAAAAGAAGGTCCCTGTCTAACCTCAGGGTGAGTTGGGGGACCTCTTTTGTCAGAAGGTACTTTATTCCCAAGGGCTTGTGTTCATTCTCAAGGTACTCACCCTTCTCTGGGCTGCAGATCTTTTTCTGAAGCTTGGGAAGTGCAGCTGAGTCAGCTGTTAATCAGCCCCTCTGAGCACAGTGTCCAAGAGGCAGATTGAATTGTGAGAGGGAGTGGGGGAGGCAGCCTGGCAAACTGGACACAGGATTAGTCTTGGATCCAAGAGTCCTGGGGTTATGTCCTGGCTCTGCTACTTAGTTGCTGTGTAACCTTGCAGAACTACTTTTCCCCCTCTATGCCTCACTTACCTTAAATAGCAGCAAATGGCTGGCTCGTGAAAATGCCCTACACCCAAGCTGAAAAAGATGCTGTTGTTCAGTCACATCCAGCTCTTTGTGACCCTTATTAGCTTTTTTTTTTTTTTGGTAAAGGTACTGGTGAAGAGGTCTAGAGGTTAAGAGGTTTGGGGGTGCTGCTGGGAAACCCCAATGTTGTGATGCCAGGCCCTGCCTGAAAGAATTCAACTCAAATCTTCTTCTAGCCAGAGGAAAAGTTTATTAGTGATAAATCACATAGGCCAGATGATGCCGAGTGGGCATGAGAAAGTCTCAGCCTTTTGGGCATGAGATTTTCAGTGTCTGAATGGGGGCCAGGGTGAAATTTTTGTACTCTGAAGTAACTTTGGGTGACCAGAGAAGGGGGCTGGGAAAAGGGTCTAGGTAAGAATTCTGATTGGGAGGTCTGAGAGATTAAGTAAACAATGGGAACCTGGAAGTTTAAGTGTTTTATGGGGCCTGTAATGAAGGGAACTGTAAGGCATCTGAGTAAGGTCAAAAGGTGGGGCTCTGGCTTTCAAAGGGAGATAAGGAGCTATGATTGTAGACAAATGGGAGCCAGATTCCCTCTGGGACAAGGGGTGAAGGTCTCTGCTTAAGCTCACACTCCATCACTGGAATGGTTTGCCATTTCCTTCTATAGCTCCTTATACAAATGAGGAAACTGAGGCCTATTGGTTTAAGTGACTTGCCCAAGATTGCATAGCTATTAAATATCTGAGTCCAGATTTGAATTCATGAAGAGGAGTCTTCCTGACTCCAGTACCAGCACTTTATTTACTCTGCCATCTACCTGCCCCTGTTGACCTATAAACAGTGATAAATAAAGGGTTGTTTCCTGCTTTCTTTGTTTTCCTTCCATTGAGGCAGCCATATGGTGCAGTGGATAGAGTGCTGGGCACTTGGAGTCAGGAAGGCACAAATTCCAATCTGACCTCTGCAGAGATGCAATATTAGTGTAGGGGGGAAGACTTTCCTGATAGCGATGTCATTTTAATGCCAAATGTAAGGGGGCTGATCTGTTCTAACTTGATCTGCCAAGTGTAGGGATACAGACCCTCCAAGACAGTACTGAGATTCCTTAAGAAAGAGCTTGCCAGCTTGGCTGTATAATAGGTTCATTAGGGTGTGTTAGGTTAATTGGGTGGTTTGGGGGAGTTTGCTCATGAGACCCAGTCCTTGGCAGCAAGAAGACAAAATGATGTAATGGATCCCTGCACCAAATTCAGGCCAGGTCAGCTGTATATAGGAACAGAATAAAGAAGGAATTGAGGCAGGAATGGCTCAGGGTCATGTACAAATTTTCCCACAGGAAAGTTGGAGCTTCTTTTGCTGTTTACATTTACTCAAGGCAGTTTACATTATTTATGAGACTCTGGGTCTAGTAGGCTCTGGTCCAGCCCACACAACATCAGGCACTTACTAGCTATGCAATGACAACAATAGCACTTTAGCTCCCTGGTTCCTTGTGAAGAGGAAATGAGATAATAGTTGTAAGGCACATAAACAAATTGCTTAATACATAGGAGGGTGCATAGTAAATACTTATTTCATTCCTATTTTCCTTCTTCCTTCCTTTCCTTCCCTCCCTCCTTCCTTCTTTCCTTTTCTTCCTTCTCTTTTTTCCTTTCTACTCATCCTACTAATTCTGCCTCCCTGGGTTCTTGTGAGGCCAAAGCTGTATAGGCCTGAGAGCACTAAAGAAATGGGAGCTCCTGAGAAAAGGCAAACCAAACTTCTCCTCTCTGACCCATCCTCACTGACTGTGGTCTCCTGTCCTTCCATCATGGCCTTGCCCTACTTGTCTTAAACCTGCTCTTCCTATTCAAAGTGACCCACAATCCATTCATCTTTCTTTATTCTCTCATGTCCCACCTCCCTCCCTTCACCATCTTGTCTTTATTGTTAGATAGGTCACACATGCAGTGTTCTTCAACCCTGAATTCCTTGCCCCTTGTCCTCCTGCTCCTGCCTTGTAATCTTCAGCCCTGGGTTACTCCCATAATATGCTCTGTCTGCTTCTGCTCCTGTGATCTTGAGAAAGTCACCCCACCAGGCCAACTCAATTCCCTGCCAATTCTGATCTAATTTTCAATTTTTTCCCTTATAGACATAGGAAGATCCTTTATTTTTAATTGATTGATTCATTATCCCCCTCAGCAGCTGTTCCAGGTCTCTCTCCTTTAGCCCCAAGCTATTTCTGGATCCTTGTCTTTTATTCCTTCAACTCCAATAAACATATTACCTTGTCCTCTCCTCCTTACTCAAGACTCTGACAAAGATGTGGTCCTACCTGTCAAAGCTAAACCTTTAATTGTGCTGTTGATCCTGATGGGGTGCTTGGGTGCTTGTACTGGAACCCTAATTCCATGACCATGTTTCTCCCTAGCCTCAGGAAAACTATCCCTGGTAGTTTCTTCCCAGCCTAAGGACACTGTGCCTACCGTTATTCATGAGTGGGCCCCATCAAGACCCTTATCTCTCTCCCTGGTGCAGTTACAAACAGTACTTGAAGGAATTAATAGTTTGAACTGGCTTTGCACTGGGTCATAAAGATATTCTTACCCACTGGACTATCTATACTACTGCCTTACCTCATTATCTACATCCTGGACTCCCCATTATCTGTATTCTAGACCTAAGACATATGTATACTCCCAACATCTATCTTGTCAAATAAGACATTGACTGGTGGCAGACTGGACCACTCTCAGTTACCCCTAACCTCTAGTTAACTTAGTGATGTAGCAGGCCTAAAACCACACCTCCATGTGGCCCCTTTTCCTAGTGAACTCTGGGTAAAACACCTGCAAAGTATATTAAAAAAAGTGCATGTTCCTTTAAGAACTGACTGCTCCTTAACCATTCCCTAATCCCACCCTGAATCACCTAGTTAGCATATTTGGCACATGTTTTATTGTATTTTATCCTATATAAACTTTAACTGTATCCCTCTAAGGTCGCAGGTTCCTTAAGAATCCTTGCCTGCTATATAGTGTAACAAAAAACTTTTTGCCAACTTGACTTAAAGAATGCTTGAGTCGGTGAATTCATTCCAGGTAACCCCGTCCCATACTCCAGTCTTTGACAGGTCTCAACCTCTCAGACTGCAACAATCCCAGTCCTTCCTATCTCTTTTAGGAGCTTTCTCTGTCAATCAATAAAGGGCAGCTCAAATCTCAAATCATACACACACACACACACACACACACACACACACACACATACACATATATACATATGCATACATACATATATATACACATACATATACATACATACATATATACACACACATATATATACATATACATACATACATATATATACACATATATATACACACACATATATATATTTGTGAGAAACATGGTTCAGTAACTCACTGCTCCCCTAGAAACATACCATGTGAACTATATATATATATATATATATATATATATATATATATATATACACACACACATACATATACATAAAAACACATATATACTGATAATCATATATACTGATATACACATACATAAACACACACATATATCCATATATCTATATCTATATATATAAAATAAAGGCAAGAATGTGAACCAAAAAAGAAAAAAATGAGTTTTGTGGTTTGCTCTGATTCATTTCCTTTTTAACCCTCAAAGAATATTGCATTTCTGAAGGAAAAAAATGACACCTGAGGTAGAAACATCCTTTCAGATTTGATTAAGAAATGATAAACAATTTCAGACTGACAATCGGGAGCTGATGGGATTCAAATGAACTTTCTAACCCTAAGTCAGATAAAGACTTGGTACACATATTCGTGTAATCCATAACATTTTATTATGTACCTACTACATGTCAGGTGATTGCTATAGTGCAAATGGTATTAAGACAAAAATAAAATTCCTGATTCTCAAAGACTTTACTTTGATCTTTGTAATAGGATGAAGTTGATGAGGGTGGGGTCTGGACCCCAAAAAGGAAAAACCCTGGATTTTCCCACGTGGCCAAATCACTGGCATTCCCTGAGGCTATAATCCTATCAACTGGCCTTTTATTATCTCCTATGCCAAATCTCCCAATTCTGTTACCTAGCCCTCCATTGTCTATTACCTCCTGAGAACCAGGCTACTTCCCACCTTTAATCCTATCTAGGTTCCACTCTCCCTTGGCCTAGTGGTCTAAGTCCCTGGCATTCTAATCACTCCAGTTTATTGGCCACTTCCATTCAGATCCTCCTTAGACCTCTCCTCCAGTTGCTCCAGACTACTTGGCCACTCCCGGATCCCTCCCACAGTCTTTCTGTATTTAAGATTCATCTTGTCTCTATTAAGGTGATCAGATTCTTGTAATACAGTCAATGCTCAGATTCATAAGATCTGGCCCTCTTGCATTAGCAATACAAATGCTTAGATTCCTTTAGAGTCTGACCAATACGGCTGACTCTTAAAATCTCCCCTCACCCTGCATTGATGTTCTAATAAACTTTGCCTTTGGCTGAAAGAAGGCTTAGGTCAAATTCATTTGGGAATTTGTGTCTCTTGCTCTTGATATTTTGGGGTCCCAGCACCCCTAAACCTCTAAACCTCAACAATAGAACCTGTCAGACCTGGAATAGCCTTTGAGAACCAAGGTCACATCCATACCAGGAGGATGCATAGAAACAGACATGGTGAAGGATTTTCCTCTAAACCAAAATTGGTCCAAATATAGCTTTCTCCCTTTGGTTAATTTGTTTTAAAGTATAAATAGTTTGTTTTATATTTTGTACTTGACAAATGCCAATAAAAATGAGCATTTTCATATATAAAGAACAGAAAAAAAAAGAATGGTGTATGAAATCACAAATTGTGATTCTGTATTTCTTGGTGTTTTGCAGGTGCAAAAGTGACTGTCCTGCCCCTCATTACCTGAAGGCTATGTATGTTATTTCTATTTCTTTGAACTTGACAAAATTCACTTAACTACTTTTTTTCCTTTGAGGGTTAATTGATAGTTTCTTTTATTTCATCTTTTGAGATTACCTTATTAAGATTCTTTATTTCTCATACTTTACCCTAAGCATTTATCCATTTGATTTGTTATCAATTTTTCTGGCATATAGTTGGGCAAAATATTTTCTAATAAAATTCCTTCATTTTCTTTAGATTTGTTATATGGGGTTTTTTTGTTTATTTGTTTTTGGTACTGGTAAAGTAATGTTGTTCTCTATTAAAACGCCACCAACACTACATTATAGGTTATAAAATTGGAATATTGGAATAAGTAGAGAGGAGCAGGGAAGACATTACAGGTTAGAAAAAATAGTGTGAGCTGGGCTGTGAAGGTGGAAATGAATATGGGTGTGTGGGGACCAGCCTGATCTGTCAGATCTGTATGAGGTGGGGAAAAACGAGGAGGGGTGGACACAAGCTGGATCACAGTGTCTATGCCCTTTAATGTGTGGTTGCCTAGACTTGGAGAGAACACTACTACTTCCTAGAGTAAGGAAACTATTTTCATGCTCAATTATCCTTCTCTTCACAGCCAACATCCTTTTCTTGTTCTTAGCATCTCCTTGTGTTTCTGTCAGCTATGATCTGGACCTTAAAGCGGAATCCCTGGACAGCTACCTACAGCAGCCCCACTCTACCTTTATACCTCATATGCCTCAACCTCAACCTTCCTTGTATTCCTGGCTCAGGTAAGTTTACTTTGGTGTCTGCCACTGTGGCATTCACATATCACTACCCCCTGATATTTCACTTCAACTAAACCATCTATTCAAGAAACACTTATTTAGGCCCTATTGTACAGAGAGCCCTGTGTTTTAACACTACTGGAAGTACAAAGTTCATATTAGGCCTTGTCTCTAATCTCAGGGTCACTGTCCCTTTCCCAGGAACTCCCATCAATATGTGCAACACAGCATCATGGGATTGTAGAATTGGAGGGGCTCTCATCCATTTTAGGCCCTTACGTTATTGGCTCCTGGAGGAAGATGTTTTTGAATAGAAGGATCTCTCTTAATAGGGATTCAAACTTGTCACTAATGTAGGAGATTGTCACTGTTCATTTCAACTCAAAAAGAGGGAGAACCTTTTAATATTCTTTTTTTTTTTAAGGCAATTGGGGTTAAGTGATTTGCCCAGGGTCACATAGCTAGGAAGTGTCAAGTGTCTGAGGCCAGATCTGAACTCAGGTCCTCCTGACTCCAGGGCCGGTGCTCCATCCACTGCACCACCTAATTGCCCCCCAACAAAGCATTTTCTAAATTCGACTTCTCTTCCCCAACAAGAGAACCAACATGTACTGGTGATCAAGGCACTCAATGGACCTGAAGGAAAGCCATTGCTGGGGAAGGAAGAGAAAGACTGAAAAGTTTGGAGCAAAACCTCAGGCCAAGGCAGGACCAGAGCTTTTCAGGGAGATGCACATACAAGGTACTTAAGAAGATGGGAACCTGGATGGAGGCTTCAGCTAGAAAGATCTGCCAGGGTTATAGGAGGCACGGAATCAGTAGTGTCAGCGAAATGAGTGCCCGATGCGATCTGCTTCAGTAGTTCTGCCTTTTAATCCTAGCACTGACCATCCCCCACTCCTGCCTTCTCTGATGGGCAGACTTCTGAGGGTACTGGTGTCCATACTAAGTCCTGTGTGTGAATGAGGTTGTGAGAACAAATACCCTCCCTGGATGCAAGGTTCCCATCACTTCTGATCCAGACCCACCCAAGAAAATAGGAAAGGTTAGAATAGGAAAGGGCATAGCTACTTCTCACCTTCTGACAGAGTCCAGCTTTTTTGAGGACTCTGTACCAAAGAACTGCAGGGAGATTCTCCCCAGTGACATGTACAAGGAAAGGGGATACAAAGACAGAATCATAGTTTTAGAACTGGAAAAGGCCCCAGAGATCATTGAGCTCAATCCTGTTATTTTACTGAAGAAACAGAGACCCAGAGACATCCAGTGACTTGCCCAAGGTCACACAGCTAGTCAGTAGCAGAGCTAATATTTATTTATTTATTTATTTTTAAGGGTTCATTAGTTAATTTATTTTTAGTTTTCAACATTCACATCCACAAGATTTTGAGTTCCAAATTTTCTCCCCATCTTGTCCCTCCCCCAACCCCAAGACAGTCTGCATTCTGAATATACTTTACCCTAATCTGCCTTCCTTTCTATCTCCCACCGCCCCCAATCCCCTTTCTCTTCTATTTTCCTGTAGGGTAGGATAGATTTCTATACTCCATTGCCTGTGTATCTTATTTTCCAATTACATGTGAAAACGATTTTTTAACATTTGTTTTTCAAACTTTGGGTTCCAAATTTTCTCCCTTCTTCCCCTCCCCACCCACCCTCACTGAGAAGGCAAGCAACGCGATACAGGTTATACATGTGTAGTCATGCACAACACTTCCATAGTAGTCATGCTGTGGAAAACTAACTTTATTTCCCTTCATCCTATCCTGTTTATTCTATTCTGTCTTTTGACCCTGTCCGTCCTCAGAAATGTTTGCTTCTGATTACCCCCTCCCCCAATCTACCCTCCCCTCTATCATCCCCCTGATCTCTTATCCCCTTGCTCCCTATTTTCCTGTAGGGTAAGATAGCTTTCCATACCCAATTAAGTGTGTATATTATTCCCTCCTTAAGCCAAATCCGAATAAGATTAATATGATAATATTAATAATTAATTCATTAATAAAGAGAATAAATGAGAATAGGATTCACTCATTCCCTCTCACCTTCCCCCACTTCCCCTTCATTGTAAAAGCCTTTTCTGTTTTATGTGAGATAATTTACTCCATTCCTCTCCTTTTCTTATTCTCCCAGTATAATCCTCTCTCACCTCTTAATTTTATTCTCCAGATATCACCCATTCATCTTCAACTCATCCTATGCCCTCTATCAATCTATCTATACATACAATTTTTTTTCCCTCCAACTACCCTAATACTGACAAAGGTCTCATGAGTTACAAATATCATCTTTCCATGTAGGAATGTAAACAGTTCAACCTTAATAAGTCCCTTATGATTTCTCTTTCCTGTGTACCTCTTCATGTGTCTCTTGAGTCTTGTATTTGAAAGTAAAATTTTCTATTCAGCTCTGGTCTTTTCATCAAGAATGCTTGAAAGTCTCATCGAATGTCCATTTTTCCCCCTGAAGGATTATATTCAGTTTTGCTAGGTAGATGATTCTTGGTTGTAATCCTAGCTCATTTGCCCTCTGGAATATCACATTATAAGCCCTCAAATCCTTTAATGTAGAAGCTGCTAAATCTTGTGTTCTCACTGTGGCTCCATGATACTTGAATTGTTTCTTTCTGGCTGTTTGCAATATTTTCTACTTGACCTTGGAACTCTGGAATTCGGCTATAATATTCCTGGGAATTTTCATTTTGGGATCTCTTTCAAGAGATAATTGGCCTTTAAATTTCTATTTTACCTTCTGGTTCTAGAATATCAGGGCAGTTTTCCTTGATAATTTCTTGAAAGATGATGTGTAGGCTCTTTTTTTTGACTTTCAGATAGTCCAATAATTTTTAAATGGTCTCTCCTGAATCTATTTTCCAGGTCAGTTGTTTTTCCAATAAGATATTTCACATTGTCTTTTATTTTTCATTCTTTTGGTTTTGTTTTACAATGTTTTGATTTTTCATAAAGTCACTAGCTTCCAATTGCTCCATTCTAATTTTCAAAGAAGTATTTTCTTCAGTGAGCTTTTGGACTTCCTTTTCCATTTGGCCAATTCTGCTTTTTAAGGCATTCTTCTCCTCATTGGCTTTTTGGACCTCTTTGGCCATTTGGGTTAGGCTATTTTTTAAGTTGTTATTTTCTTCAATATTTTTTTGAGCTATTCCATGGCCTGGGACTGATTCATATTTTTCTTGGAGGCTTTGGATGTAGGAGCTTTGACTTTGTGATCTTCTTCTGGTTCTGTTTTGATCTTCTTTGTCACCAAAGAAAGATTCTATGGTCTGACTTTTTTTGCACAGTTTGCTCATGATCCCAGCCAATTACTTGAGTTTTCAACTCTTTGTTAAGGTAGGGGTTTGCTTCCAGTAGAAGCAAATGTACTATTCCAAGCTTTGGGGGTTTTGTACAGCTATTTTCAGAGATACTTCTAGGGATCTGTGAGTTTTCAGTTCTTCCAAGGTGGTATAATCAAGGGTGAGGTGTTTGCTCTTTTCCTGGCCTGTGGTCTGGCCTATGAGTGACCATAAGCACTCTTTTCTGCCTTGGAACTGTGAGGAGGATTCACTCTTCACCACCACCACCAGCTCCACCACACCAGCACTCCTCCTTGTCCCGAGATGGCCACCCAGAACTGTGACTCAGATCCAAGTACAGGCAAAGCAAGAGAATCCTGCCTCAACACCAGCAAAGAGATCCTTGCAATCCCCCTCGGATCAGCCACTCCATTTTCCCTCAGTCTGTGGGCCGGAAGCTCTGGAAGCAGCTGCTGCCCTGGGGCCACATGGGGACTGGGGCTGGAATGGAGCTTCTCTCTCATGGAGGTCACAGACTTTTCATACTGACCTTCTAAGTTGTCTTTGGCATTTTTTTGTTGAGAAGTCTGGAAACCACCACAGCTGCCCACGATTCAGTCTTGTTGTGGGTTCTGCTGCTCTAGAATTTGTTTAGAGCCATTTTTGCAGGTATTTGGAGGGATTTGGGGGAGATTTCAAGCAAGTCACTGCTTTTACTCTGCCATCTGAGCTCTACCCAGAGCTAATATTTAAAGTCAAATCTTTTCCTTCCAGATCTAGTCACCCAGGATACCATCACTACAGTAATGTCCAGAAAGCTCCCCACATTTCCATACTCACACTCCTCTTTCCCCCCTGAGCTGCCCTGCTCTGTTACACAGAGGTCTCCCACAGCTCTGTGGCCCAGCCTCCTTCTAAAACACTCAGCTGCACAGACACAGAATGAGGGCAAGTCCAACAGCAGCCCAGAAGCCTGGTCTTCCTCTGAGTTATCTATGGACAGCCTCAGTGGTGGGGCAGAGGCTGGTCCCTCCATAGGGCCATAGACAGGAGCTGTTTTCCTCCTGCCTCCACCCCCAAACTTTCAGCCCCCAATCAGCTGCCCTGCTTTCCTGGATATACATGGTTATAAAGAGGGAGAATGTCTTGTCTCCATCCCACAGTGATTTCCACACTGCTCAAAGCAGAGCAGCACCCGAGCAGGAACAGTCAGAGCTGCGTGGTCCTGGGCTGCCCTGACCCTGCTCTGGAGGCCACATTAACTCCACCACCCCAGTGTTTTCTGATTCTCTTCTGTTTTGTCCCTGGTTCTCCACACAGCCACATTCACAGTATCTGGCCCTCTGGCCCAGCCCACAGTGGCCTGGGTGGGGGAAGATGTCCTGCTTTCTTGTCACCTCTCCCCCAAGATGGATGCTCGAGAAATGACTGTTAAATGGGTCAGAGGTCCACTGGTTGTGCACATGTACCGCATGGGGAAGGAGATGATGTTTGTCCAGGCCCCTGCATTCCAAGGGAGGACAAAGATGCTGAGAGAGGACATGGCTGAAGGGAAGGTGACCATGAGAATTCACCAGGTCCAGCTGTCTGATGCCGGCCAGTACACGTGCTATTTCCAGGCAGGCACCTTTTACAATGAAACCAGCTTTGACCTTCAGGTAGCAGGTAGGCCTTCCTTTGGTCATGGGTTCTCTCTACAGCTGGAAGAGACATTCAGATTATTGGCATTGGCAGAAATCTTTGGAGTGTGTAAAGTACTTTCCATACCTTGTCTTACTGCAGTCTCACGACTACATTGTGGGTTAGTATTTCTATAACAGTGACTGCCTGGGCCCCCACTCACTGAAGGCTAGTTCTGTGATATTTCAGCCCCTCAGGGTTCTCTCGTACCTTTAAGGGAGTTTGAAGTTGTTCAGCCTCTCTGTCATTGACTCAAGCCCTTGCCCCAAAGATGTTGCCCCAATATTAGAGTAATATTTAATTCTACAGTGTCACCAGAACAAATATTCAAACATCACTTTTACTGACATCTGGGAACATTGTCCTCCCCATATGGGCCACTTCAATCTGGAGAGTTTGAGGGTGGAGTGGGTTCAGTTCATAGCTCAGCCCAGTTCCTACATTACATAGTTTCACCAAGTTCCAATTCCAAAGACCCCCTTGTACTCAAGTCCCTGGTACCCTGGCTTTTCAAGACTTCTCTTCAGTGCTGGCAGCAACATTTGGCCTTGATTTCTCCCTGTAAGGTCACTGTGGCTTGGGTCTGGGTGGAATGGAGAATTCATCATCTGTGCCTAGAAGTAAAAAGACAAAGAAATAGACCCCACCCACACCCTAAGTCTGTTTCTGAAGGGCCATAGGGCCTAAGCTGGGGAGGGAAATAGAGTCCTTCCTTACCTGTCTCAATTCATGGTACCTGTGCTATAGGTGAGAATGCCCAGAGCAGAGAGATGGAGTGTCTTATTTGTGGAATAGCCAGAGGCCTGTGTCACTGGATTAAATAACATGTGTTAGGGAGGGAGATGTAAGAAGATTGGGATGGTAGGAAGGATTGGGGTGACAAAAGAGCTTTGAATCTTGAACAGAGCATTTTGAATTTGCTCTCTGGGCCAATGGGGAGACATTAGAGTTTACTGAGAATCACAGTGACATGATCAGGCCTGCATTTTAGGAAAATCTCTTCAGTGACTGGATGGAGGGTGGATTGGAATGGGGAGAGACTTGAGGCAGGCAGACCCACCAGCAGACTACTGCAGTAATCAAGGAATGAGGAGATGAAGGACTGCCCTAGAGTGGTGGCAGTGTCAGAGAAGAGAAAGGGGCCTATTTGAGAGATGTTTCAATGATGAAATTGACAGCCTTAGTAACAGATTGGATGTTTGGGATGAGAGAGTGAGGAATCCAGGATGACTGCTAGGTTGTGAGGACTGGGAGGTTGGTGTTGTCCTCTATAGTCATATTGAAGGCAGAGTGTGGGGACAGTGTAGGGGGAAATATTAATGAACTGTGTTTTGACATATTGAGTTTAAGATGTCTACTGGACATCCAGATTGAGATGTCTGAAAGACAGTTAAAGATCTGATAGTAGAAGTCAGTAGACCCACTGGGGCAGGAAATGTAGACCTGAGAATCATCAGCACGTAGACAGTAATTCAATCGATGGAAGCAGATGAGATAACCAAGTGAAGTCATGTAGAGGGAGAAGAGAAAAGTACAGAGAACAGAACTCTGAGAGAAACCTGCACTTAGAGGCAGGATCCACACAAGGATCCAGCAATGGAGAAGTCAGATAGGTAGGAGGAACACCAAGAGGGAGACAGGAGGGGAGAGTGATCAGCAGAGTCAAAGCCAGCAGAGAGAAGAAGGAAAAGGAGGACTGAGCAACAGCCATTGGATTTGGCAGCTCATTAGTAGCTTTGGGGACAGCAGTGTTAGTGCAACGATGAGGTCAGAAGCCAGATTGCAAGGGGTTAATAAGAGAGGGAGAGGAGAGGAAGTGGAGGCAGCTATTGCAGGAGGCCTTTTGGAGAGTTGAGCTACAAAGGGCAGAAGAGTTATAGGGGGTTAGGTACTAAATCATCCTTATCTTACAGATGAGGAAACTGAGGCAGACCGATTTAGTGCCTTGCCCATGTTCACCTCCCTAGTGAGTGTCTGAGATTAGGTTGAAACTCAGGTGTTCCTGCCTCTGGTACCAGAACTCAATCCACTGCGCCACCTAGTGGCCTCATGAGCAAAGAGCTGGTGTCTTCAGGAGATAATGAGTTGTCTAGTCTAGCCAGAGCCCAGAGTTCTAGGAGTGGAGTCAAATGCAATAGTTGGGAAGGGTAGATGGTACCCAGTTGGAGAGGGTTTTGAATGCCAGGATAAGAAGTCTGAGCTTCACTGAAAAGGACGTAGAAAACCACTAGATTTTTCAAGACAGTAAAGGTCACTTCTATGCATAAATAACATGAGCCTAGAGCCCAGCCTGAGAGGAAGGTAGGACCGGGGGTGGGGATCTAGAGTTAGGAAGACATGTAAGTCAGCCAGTCAGTCAACAAGTGTTCATTAAGGACTCGTGGCAACTAGGTGCCAGAGCAGATAGTCAGACTTGGAGCTGGGCACACAGGAGTTCAAATCCTGCCAGACATTTATTTACTGTATGAGACTGTGGAACTCACTTAAACTCTTTCACTCTCAGTTTCCTCATCAGTAATATAGGAATGTTAATAACAGCTAGCATTTCTGTAGCACTTGAAGGTTTACAAAGCACTTTATAAAAATTCCTGCTTATTATTCTCAACCCTGTGAGGTGGGTGCTATTTTTAATCCAGTTTTACCAATGAGCACACTGATGCAGAAACAGTTTTCAGTGGCTTGCCCCAGTTCACACAACTAGAAAGTATCTGAGGCTGGATTTGAACTCAGGTATTCCTGACCTGAAGTTCAGTGATCTATTTACCTACCTAGCCCTTACCTACCTCCTAGGGTTGTTAGGAGGACCAGATGAGATAGCCTGGGGTGTGAGGAATAATTCATTCAGATGCCTACTCTATTCTAATCAGTATTAATCAGATTCCATAGGAGTAATGATTATAAGTTCTGTATGCTAGGTTTACAGAGCTGCGAGCTGCAGATTATAAGTTCACTTGCTTAATCATAGGAAGCTAACTACTGTCCCTTCACCCTTGTTTTTCCTTGTTATGGTGCCCAAATGCAGTATGGTGGAAGTGACTCAATTACGTGGAAAGTCCCCCAACTTATTTTTGTACCTCTGCATCACTGTCTTGTCCAACATGAGCAGGTGGCCATCTTATGACCATCTTATGTCCACTTACTCAGTGCAGATAGTGCATGCTTTGCCCAACCTGTGACCCTCTGCTTTCTCGCTGACGCATCATTTTTTGGCCCTCACAGCAAGGTCTATCAACCAATGGAATTCAGTATTTTGTATAGTCCGTTAGATTGGAACACAATCTGGTATCAAGCCTTATTAAAATAAAGCTCTGACAGAAGGAGGCATCTCAGATCATGAGGAAGATCTGAAGTCCACTTCATTAGGGGGCACCATGGACCTTGTAATAACATGCCATAGGCTCAGAGCCTGTCCTCAATCTCTTTTATTGTAGATTGGACAATTACAATCCCCATAGTGGAAAGTGCTTTACGAATCTTGAAGCCTACGTAAATACTGCTATCATTATTACTGGCATCATTAATATTATTACCATCATAAAGAGTTTTAGCATAGTTCCTGGCACATAGTGGATGCTCCAGGAATGTTAAGGATTCTTATCATTACACGTGGCAGGCATCATGGTGAGCTTTGGGGGTACAAAACAAAGCCAAAACACAGGCACTGCCCTCAGGGAGATCACATTGGAATGGGAGAAACAACCTGCAAATAGCTGCCTATGTCAGATATGACAAAGGCCAATAGAGGCATCTTTAGGGAACTAGCAGCAGGTGTGAGGTGGGGGAGAACCAGAACTGGCCTCCTAAAGAAGGAAGAATTGAGCTACAGTGCCAGGGAGCCACTGAAGTTTCTTAAGCAGGGAGTAACATAGTCAGACCTATGCTTTAGGAAACACACTTTGAGAGCTGAGTAGCTTCAAGAAGCCATGGCATTCATACTGGCTACACCCCACAGACAGGCAAAACCATGTTTGAGAGTAACAGAGGGGTCTCAGACCCCTCTGTTAGTTAGGTGGGGTGTCTACCCCAAGAATGTAAAGACTTTCCCCTGTGGAATGGCTGGATGAGAACAATTTATTCCAAAGGCCATGAAGGTAGCTAAAGCAGGCACAGTGGAGTGCTTAGAGCTTGCATGTGCATCGAACATGTCAAGGTCATCCACTATATCCTGAGCTATCACCAGTTGTCTTGACTTTTGTCTTTGCCACTGGATTCTGATGACTCTGGAAGAGAGAGTGATCCTGATGATTTTGAGCAAACTCTGCCTCACTTAAATTCTATTTATGCTCAAGTCAAAAGACATCAATGATACCATTTTACCATTTTTGCCTACCTCATAAAGTCCTGTGGTGCCAGACAAGTGATGAAGCAGCAGTTGTGGATACACTGAGAGCTGTAGTGGCATCCCTGCTCATAGGTGGCCTAGGCCATATGGTGGTCTTCTCACTGGCTGACACAGCAGTGGGATTCAGTCTCCCTCTGGGTATCTGAGTAGCCTTTTTTAAGACTGCATGGCTCACCTCCAGGCATGAAGAAGGGGCAAAGAAAGGTGCCTTAAAAATTATCTGCTTCACTCAACCCTGGTCTGCTTGCTGAGGTAGGCAGGGATCCTACCCTGTGGTCAAAACACAAAAAATGTACAGAAACTTTTATGAAGATGATTTCACTCACCATTGCTGCATGGAACATGCACACACTTACGGACAACATGAAATCCAGTAGAATGGAAAGATAAACAGCTTTTTTTGTTGTGAGAGAACTCAGCAGGCATTTCATCCACTTAGCAGCCCTGAGTGAAACAAGGCTGAAAAATGAAGACCAGCTTCCTAAAGTTGGAGTTGGATGGATCCACATTTATCTAGAGTGGCTGCAGTAATGGGGAGCACTGTGAAGCTGATGTAGGTTTTACATTCAAAATTAATCTAGTTAACAAGCTTGTATGTCTACCAAAAGTAGTGAATGACAGACTCACGACAATGCAATTACTATATATAGGAAAGCACCACGCCACCATCATTGGTGCCTATCCTTCCACCATGATGAACTCTTATAAAGTCAAAGAGAAATTTTATATTCATCGAGGTCAAAAATGGCATCCAGCTCAGCTATTGCACTGACAGTAAATTATTTAACTTGAAAAGGCTAGAAGTCAAAACTAAAGTGGAGGAAGAGTTGGCGCATGGCTTTTTGTTTGTAGATGATCATATTTGCAAGGCAGGCCCTGAAGCTGAGATGCTGCTTGTGCAAATTTTGGCCTGACAGTTAACACCAAAAAAAGAGAGGTTTTCCACCAGCCAGCACCATACCATCCATCCATGGAACCATTGGTTACAACAAATGGAGAAATTGTGAATGCTGTGGATAAGTTTACTTACTTTGGCAGTATACTTTCCAGGGATGTCCACAAAGCTGATGAGTTTGATGCATGTATTGCCAGAGCTAGCTCAGAGTTTAAGAGGCTCCAAAGGAAAGTGTTGGAGAGAAGAGGTATTAGATTGCCTACCAACTGAAGGTCTACAGAACTGTTGTGCTGACCTCATTGTTGTATGCCTATGAAACCTGGACAGTTTACCAGAGCCATGCTGAATCATTTCTATTTGAATTGTCTTAGGAAGATTCTGAAGATCACCTGGCAAGATAAGGTATCAGACACTGGGGTCCTTTCTCCAGCTGAACTACCAAGCATTCAAACTCTTATTTCAGAGAATACAATTGTAATAAGCTGGCCACATTGTTGGAATGCCAAACACACATTTGCCAAGAAGAACTCACACAAGGTAAGTGCTTACATGGAGGTCAGAAGAAGCAATAGGAGACTCTCAAGGTCTCTCTGAGGAACTTTAGAATTGATTGTGAGATGATGGACACACTGGCACAGGACTGCCCAGCATGATATGCCCACTCAAAGAAGATGCTGTACTCTAGGAGCAAAGCAGAATTGCAGAAACTCAAAAGAAACATGAGATGTGCAAATTTAGAGACATCCACATTTCAAATGTTCACATGCACTATTTGTGCCTGATCTGTGCTACAGTCTTCTGAGCTCATATTGATCTGATCAACCACAATTCAACACACTGTACCTTGAATCCACCATGATGACGTCATTTTTGTCCTCTTTGAGATGGAAGGACAACAACTCACCCAGTACAAATACAAAGTGAGACAGTCCCTGCCTTCAAGGTACTTATTTTCCAACAGGATAGACAATAGGAAGAGAAGAGTGGTGACCATGGAAGGGAGTGTGATTTGGGTAGTGGTACAGTAGGTCAGTCCACTGACACACTTTTTCCAGAGGCGGTGGTTACTATTGATTCCATTACAGTGCTCAGAGAAAGATATAGAATGGCAAGAAGAAGAATGGGAGTGAGGATGGAGGGGGGATGATGCACCCACAACATGGTGTGGAAAATGACCAAGAGAAGGCATCTGAAAGAAGGGGAAGGACTTGCCTGCAGTCACACAGGAGGGTCATGGCAGAGCCAGCTCCAGAAGCCAAGTCTCTCACTCTCGTAGATTCTCTGTTCATTACAGTTCTGAGAGTGTCCTGTTCAAGTCTAGATATTTCTGGGAGGGACTAGCATGTTAAGCCATCCTCCGGCATAACACTTTAGCAAGAGCAAGGGCGTCAGACCCTTTCCAACGCTAGCGCAGGGAGATCCAGGATACAAGGATATGAGACCTATCCATCTATCCAGATGGCCAGACTCCCCAGTTCCCCAGTGAGCAGAACTCCTCCTCAACAAGACCTCACTTGACTTTCTGGCCCACCTTCCTTCTACCTCAGCTGCACAGCCAACAGAGTATAAGGGCCAAGCAAACACCAGCCCAGAAGCCTGAGCTCCCTCTGCACTTGTAAGTTATCTATGAGCAGTGGCAGAACAGAGGCTAATGCAATGCCTCCATTAAGGCCATTGATGGTAGCTGTGGCTTTCCTGTCCCCAAGCCTAACCCTCCAGCATCCAAAAAGCTTCCTCTCTTTTCCACTATGCAAAGTAGTCAAGAAAGAGAATGTATTTCTATAAGGGAATCACAGGAAGGAAAAGGATTTGGCCAGAAGTGGGCCCACAGCAGAGCAACAGCTGATCCAAAGTCAGACCTTCATCTGCTGCAGCCCCCCAGGTACACAAACAAATATTCTTAATCCTGGCCCTACACTGTCCTCTAATTTTCTTCTGTTTTGTCCCCAGAACACCGGAAACAACCATTCTCAGTGGCTGGCCCCGCTCAGCTCATTCAGGCCAAGCAGGGGGAAGATGTCACACTCTCCTGTGAACTCTTCCCCAAGATGAATGCTCAGGACATGACTGTGAACTGGTTCAGAAACCAGACCCTCGTGTACAGGTACCTGAATGGAGAGAACCTGGAGGAATCCCAGGGCACTGAGTTCCAGGGGAGGACAGAGCTGCTGAAACATGACATGGCTGAGGGGAAAGTGACCTTGAAAATCCAGCAGGTCCAAGTCTCTGACTCTGGTCCATACACTTGCCAATTCCAGTCACTTGACTCTCACAGTGAAGCCCATATTGAACTGCAGATAGAAGGTAGGTCCTGTGTGGTTTATGGGTGTCTTCCGAATCTCAGATTATTAGAGCTGGGAGAGATTTTTAAAGAGCATCGAGTTAAAAACCCCCTTTTTTTAGACACTAATTTTTTATTGATTACGTGAGGAAAGCAAGCATGCAGAAGTGAAAGGGAACTTTGGTCACAAGGTACAATAGTAGAAAAAATGAAAGCCCCTTTTAACAAACGAGGAAAATGGGACAGACAGGGGAGGGCTGGGAATCAGATTCAGTTCTTCTCACCCCGAATCTAGTCATTTTCTTCTCCTTGACACTTCCCTTGGGTCCTGCAGGTGTGAAACCACAGGGTTTGAGAAAGGACAAGCTCACTTTGGGAAGTGAACCTTGACTCCCAGCTTCAATTCTCTTCCTTCTCTTTGATCCTTCAGTCCTGGTGTTTCCCACTAAAAGATGATGGAGGCCTCCCCTCTGTCCTGGAGCTCAAAAATGGGGATGATCTTATTCTCTTTCAGAGATGCTAGGCCTTACCTGGCCCTCAAAAGCCAAACACTGAATGGGGTACTAAATATCTGATACCTTCTTGACTGTAATCTGCATAGCTTCCATCCACACTGGGCTAGTAACAAATGTTTACTTGATACCTTCTCTGTGCCCAGCCCTGTGCTAAGTGAGGCTGTAGAGAAGGGAAGGAGACCTGGCCTCATCCCCTGATGGAGCTGGAGAGATATGTTGCTTAATCTACTTTAAAAAAATTAGTATGTGGCAGAGTGAAAGGGAGTGTGGCAGAGTGGATGGAGCACTGGGCTTGGAGTCAGGAAGAACTGGGTCCAGATGCTGCCTCTGATTCTTATGGTCTATGTGACTGTGGGCAAGTCACTGAAACACTCTGTGCCAACTTCAATACAAGAGACCTCACAGTGTTTGCACTCTGACAAAATCATAGGCCCTTTCTGTATTGATGCATATACCTAGGTCCTGATTAGTACCAAATTAACACATTTCAATTCATGCTATTTGAATTCATAATTATGTGAAATATGGTCATTGGTTCCAACCCAATGGAAATATGCAGTAGAATTTCAAATAATGCAACCACTTTAGGAGATTCCTTCAACAAACTGATCTGGACCTCCCTCTATGATAGAGTGATAGATCATTTGGGACATAATTTAGTTCAATTAAAAAAATTTCTATTTTCATGCAATTTAATTTAATATATATATATTTATATATTCATTTCAATCCTATATAATTTAGTTCAATCTAATAACTCCTGTGTACAGATTCCTATACTTGGTAGAGAAGGCAAAAAATTTAGGTAAGACAGATCTCCCCTGCCCTCAGGTTGCCCAGTTTAGGAGTAGGGTAGGTTAGGATGAGAAAGTAAGAAATATTATAGTAATACAAGATAAGTGCATGAGAAGAGTGCAAAATGAAATGAGGTGTGAAAACTGATGGGGAAGGTATTAGTGACAGTCATCAGGGAAGGCTTCCTAGAGGTGGTGGCGATTAAATTGGACTTTAAGGGAAGAGAAGGAGGAAGGGCATTCCCAACCCCGGGAACTGCATGAGCAAAGGCACATGGCAGCTAGAAGATCAGCACATTGTTAGGGCACAAGTTCTGGTCCAGTCTGAGTGAAGCACAGAGCTTGTGGAGGAAGATAAGGTTAGAATGGTAGGATGACACCAAATTGGGGAGTTTTACCCAAGTATGAAGGCCAAGATAAACAGTGTGAGCTCCACAGTAGAGAGCCCCTGAAGCTTTTGGAGGGCAGGAAGGCCTGAGCAGGGCCATGTACAGGGCAGATGGGCCTGGCAGGTAATGGAAGGATGGAGGGAGGGAGAGGAGGTGGGGAATCATGTATGAAAGCTAATGGAAGATGTCAGGCAGAGGTGAGGAGGATGTGTGCCAGGGTAGTCCCAGTGTAAAAGAGAGGAAGGGAAGGCTAGGAAAGCTGTTCTGGAAGCAGGATGAAGAATTGGCAGAGGTTTTGATATTTGAGGTGAGGGAGACAGTGGGCATCAGAGATTCCTGAAACAAAGGGCAATGGGTGGATCATGGTGCCTCTGATTTTAAAATCCTAAAATCAAGGAGAGAATGATTTAAGAAAGACAAATATAAACTCTGTGTGACATGGAGAGCTTGGGATGCTGAAAAGTCATCTAGATTGGGGTGTTCTGAAGTTAGATGGAGAGGAGGGTCTTGAGCTCAGAAGAAAGGTCAGAGATAGAGATTTATGTATGAAAGTCATATGGTTTGCGTTATTGGTTAAAGACATCCAGTTAAAGGCATTACAATTGTTGAGAGAAAAGAGGATTAAAAACAGAGCCTTGATGAACAACCCCACCCCCAAATTGGTTGAGATAAAAACAAAGAGCAAACAAAGGATACAGAGGAGTCCTCAGAGAAGTTGGAGGAGGACTAGGAGAGGGTCCTGTCTCTGAAGTCAGTGGAAGAGAGAAGAACAAATACCCCAGAAGGCCTTGAGGGGAAGCCAACAATATGAGGGAGGTCACACACAATGAAGACTCAAAGAAGTCCAGGGGATCCCTTTATTAGGAAGCCATTAATGACATTGAAGAGAACGTTTCAATAGAATGGCGTAAGGTTTGTAATTCTCCTGGGTGGGGAACCCTATACCTCCCCCCTAACTGTGGAGTATTCTTTTTAATATCAAAGGAAGAGTCCAAGTATCTCCATATTGATTACAGGTAGTAGTTTAAGCAATCATTATGAATATTTATAAGCAGGAGCAACCTGGGGTGGCTACCAGACAGTTTTGCGGATCCCTGCTGAAGAAGCCCCAAATCCCCATGGTAATTACTGAAAATAGACAAAGGCAAGAGGAGCTAGAGAGTGCATCATCACTGTGAGTGTTTTTGATTTTTACTTAGTAAGGAGCTTGGGAGTTAAGCCAATGTTATGCCCAAACATAAATTTGTGTATTGATCATGACCTGGTCACCATCTTCTTGTTTTGGCTTTCATAAGTCATAGCATCTTAAGTTTTGACTAGTGTCTAAGTTGTGATTTAGTATCTAAGTTACAATTTTTAAGCAGGTCACATGTTTGGGCTTCCATTTTCACAAAATTTAAATTTTTATGGCTTTTCACTTATTACTGTATTTTAGGGCTTTTTCCCAATACAAACCCTTCAAATACAAAACATGGGGGAGAAAGCCAGACCGAAGGGGGTAGAAGAGAAAGTGTGGTATGAGGCACAAGAAACTTTTGGGGGGCAGGCAACTTTCCTTCCAATTTTAGGAGTGAAGGGATAGTTACTGGAGAGGGATAAAAACATCGTTGAAAGCCTTAGGACTGGGGAGACAACTATACTTTTAAGCCAATGGGAAGGAGCCACTGGAAAAGGAGACACTGAAGGTGTGTGAGAGATGGGATGATTATGGAGTTGGGTCCTAGAGGAGGGAAGGAGAAAAGGGGATGGGATCAGTGGCACAGGGAGAGGAATCAGCTTTAATGAGCAAAGAGGCCTCTCTTTCTGTGGCCAGAGGAAGAGTAGAGAGGGAGTGAGGATGAAGGAGGGGAAGGGTGAGACCTCACACTCAGGCTCACATTGGACTGTCCTGTCAGAACTCAACTTCCACATGGAACCTTAGAGCTGGAAGTAAGCTCAGAGACCACCTTGTTCAATCAGTAGCTAAAAGGAAATCTCTGAAATGTCTAAAACATCTGTGGCACATGGTCATCCAGCCCCCTGACTGAACACCTTCAGTAGAAGGAGGCCTTTGCCCCTTCTGAAGCAGCACATTCCAGCTGGGGCAGCTCTCCTGGGGCAGGAAGGCAAAATAGGCCTCCCAATCACCTCTAGCTGATGTTCCCAATCAGCCTCTGGGGCCAAAGGAAAGAAATTAGGTCCCTTCTCCAGGACACTCATTCTTCTGGTAGAAGTCAGAGATAGGGTCTCTAAGCAGTGAAAGGGTTGCCTGTCTGCACCCCCAAGCAGATCTTACAATGTCATCTGTTTCACAAACAGATTTAAAGGGGTTAAACCCATTTCCCCAACTAGATGGTGAGTTCCTCATGGGCAGGGCCTATATACATTGTTTGATTTCTCTCTGCTGCTCCTTCTCTGCCCCAAGGGCCTAGGACTGGTCTGGGCAGACCCATAGAAGATTCTCAATAGGGACATCTGACCTTGAAAGAAAACTCTGTTCTGAAACATTTTAGAATGGGCCCAGAGACAGGAAGGGCATACTTCTGGACTGTGGACCAGGTTTAGTCCATTATCCAACCTCAAGAGAATATGCCTCTGTCCATAGTTTCAGCTCAGAGGAAAATTAACCTCCTGAAAAGCTGCCTTCTGTAGAACAGAGTAGTTCAAATCTGAGGTTCCAGCTAGGAGAGATCTTATTCATCATTTACATCAAAGCTCTTATTTCACATTTGGAAACTGAGGCCAAAGCTGCAAAGGGACTTATTTATACTAACTCCCTGATAAGTGCTAGTGATGGGATTGGACCCTAATATCCCTACTCTAAGATCCTCTTTTTCTTTCATTTAAAAGGAGGATCTCTAGTTTCTCCTTTCAAAAATCTACCTTGCACGAGCTCCCTAAAACAAAGCTGTGGTGATGTCACTTCAACTGCTCAAGAAACTTCCATGACTCCCTATTATTGTAGAGCCTCCACAATCTGGTCACATCATAACTATCCAATGTCATGGTGCCTCCTAATACTCTGTCCATGCCCATGTCACTGATGAGGAAATTGAAGCACTGGGCTTCTGGGATTAGAGGAGATGGAAGGTTACTAGAAGAGGGGCAAGATGTTGACAGAGACTCTTTTGGCATTGAAGACCAATGGGGACCTTAGAGGTTGCTATCCAGGCCCCCTCCCCCCCCATTTACTGTGGAAAAGATTGAAGCCCAGTGACCTGTCTGTGGTTACTTAGCCATTAAGGGATAGAGACACAATTTGAAACCAGATGTTCTGATTTTCCAAGTCTGAGGCTGTTTCTTCTCTCCTGTATCATCCTGCTGCCCCAATCCCCTCCTTTTATAGGTGGTCAAACTAAGGCCCAGAGAATGCAATGGACCAATGTGACAGTTTAGTGGAAGGTTGATCCCAGGGCTGCTGGAGTCCAGGCTGCTCAGCTAAGAGCCAGAGAGAATTTCTCAATGGGGATGTAAGAACCAAATCCAGAATGGACTTCAGAAGAGAGTAGCATCTGTGGTATCAGGAGACCTGTCCTGGGTCTCAGGAGACCTGGAGTCTAGTCCTGTGTCTGTCATCACCTCAGTGGAACCTCCTGGACAATTCTCTTCCCCTCTCTGCTCTGTAGCCCTCTAATGATGGGGTTGGACTAGATGTGATCTAAGGTCCCATCATCATCTGAAAGGCTCTGAATCTATAAGGACACAGCTGGGAGGTGGTGGGAAGAGGGAGTCAGAGGACCCAACCTTCAGTCCTGGCTCTGTGACTTATAAGCTCTCTTCTATTTTCCTCTATGTAAAGCAAGGCAGCTGGGCTCAATTCTTTCTAAGCTCTCCTCTCCTCTGAAGTCCTGGGGAAGCTTGGTTTGGGGGGATGTTTAGAGGCTCGTTGTGGGAAGGAAGACTGCATCATCTATGCACAAAGCAGTGTGTCTGCCCAGGATTTCCTGAATCCTGATGCCCTCTATGCTCCTACCTCTAACCTGGGCCACGAGAATCAGTTTCCACAACAATGGAGTTTGGGGATCTGATTTCAGAGAGTCTCCCCACATCTCAGAAGACACTTCCTATAATGATTGTTGCTGTATTCCTGGTGGTCTTCAGTGGTTCCTCATTGGTGACTTGTTTCTTCTACAAAAAAAGACTACAGAGGTAAGAGGAGGGCCTTGCCCATAGGCCTTTAATCCTTCCATTACTCACTGGACCCTGTGATTATGCTGTGAGAGGGACCTGAGGATGCCTTGATTTGCCAGACTAGGGCTCCTCCTTTAGGTCTGAACATATGGTTTGGCCCTGGGCTGAGGGACCTGGCCTTGGCTGCAATGACAGAGAAATTCCTGAGTGGTCCCTGTGAAAGAAGGGTTGTGTCAAAGATGATTATCCACTGGGAGTTAGGAAGTTGGACTCTTAGGGAGAAACTTCTTAGCCATGTTCTCACCTCAGCCTGATCCTCCCCACATTCCCACCCAGGAACTGAATTCTGGGTCTAAGTGGAGAGATGTGGATTGCTAGGGCTGTCCTTTTCCAGGTACCCTGTTACTAGAACTCTTTCCTTCAATACTTGAATGTGGATCTGTTCCTAGGAACTGGCCCCAGTCACTCCCTTGATGTCCTAGCCTGCTTTCTCTTAGTACCTTGGTCATTACCCAGACACCCTGTCTCCATGCCAGATCCCTTCCCCACACCTATGTACCCATAGGCTGACTCAATGAATTAAGTAATTTTGACTTGAAGAAGTAATTTGAATCAATGATTTCTAGGAAGTGGTTGAACTTCTCATCTGAGTCTCACTGATCTACTTATTTTTTTTAAATAATATTTTATTTTTTCTGAATTACATGTAAAAACAATTTTTAACATTTATTCTTATAAATTTTGATTTCCAAATTCTCTCCCTCCCTCTCCTCTTCCCTTGGTTAGACAGTAAGCAATTTAACATAGGATATGCATGTATAATCATGCAAAATGAATTTCCATATTTGTCATGTTGTGAAAGAAAACATAGACCCTCCACTACCCTAAAGAAAAACACCATGAGAAAAATAAAGAAAATTGAAAGAAAAAGTATGCTTTGATCTGCATTCAGACTCCATCAGTTTTATCTCTGGATATGGTTAGCATTTTCCATCACGAGTCTTTTGGAATTGTCTTGGATCATTGTATGGCTAAGAAGAGCTAAGTCTTTCACTTACTTACCTGCTTACTGAAGCAGCCTGGACCCAGGTGCCAGCTCCTCTCCCCAGGCTCCTGGCAGTCTCGTTCCCTGTCCCTGCCTCCAACTCCTCTATCCTGAATGAAGCTGCCTCTTCCCGTGCTCATGCCCCTGGTAAACTGAGGCCCTGAGACTGAGGGGTCATGACTGGTGTTTCCCCCAAGAGTCATATCCTGAAGGCAGCAGGAACCTACTTGGAACCCAGGTATGGCCCCCAGGTCCCCCTAATTTGTCACCCATTGCCAGAGCCTACGCCCCTTCAATTGTCAGGCATTCTACCCCACCCTCTGCTAGGAAGATTTTTATTTGTCCAGTTGATTTGGTTTTTCAATTCAATTCAAATTTGTTTTAGAAAATAACTTTTTCAATTTTAAAATCTATTTCCTTAACATTTTATTAGTTTATATCACTTATTTTTATCTTCTCTCTAATTTGGTTCTTATGGACCCTTTCCCATTTTTATTTTCACACATCTTGGCTGTGTGACCCTGGGCTAGTCACCTACCTTCCAGTGTTTTTCTAAGAATAGGGGTACCAGAAAAGGCATAGACCAGCATTGCTAACAGAAGTTTCTTAATCCAGAATTCTCTAGACTAATGAAATCCTGAGTCCTACCTTGAAGGAAATCAGTTATATTTACTTGTAAAATTTTCCATGATTTAAAAGATAATTTATATTAAACAGTTGTTTTTTTATTTACAAAGGTATTTCATTTACCTTATTAATAACCCTTATAAAACAATGGATTTTGTTTCATTGACAGCAGAGGTGTCAGCAGGGTTTCTGGCCAAAACAGGATGAATTGCTTTGGTGTGTTTTAATACCATCCTTTTTTTTTTTCTCCCCTGAGTTTTGTCTGTTTAATCAGGCCAAAGGCCCAAATATAGAACTTTTGTATCTTATGTTTGTTACTGGTTGGAAGAAATAACAAGTGGTATGGGATACCAATAGTGAACAATAACTGCTTTTGATCAATGTTCAGCCCTATTATCACCCTGGGGAACCACTAGTCATGAGCCTTATTAAGCCAGACCTCACAGATTTCCTCAGAGTTCCCTCTGGGTTTGAGGCAGAGTCAGAGAGAAAAATTTCTTTGGGAATCATCCTTCTCACCCCATGTGTTCAGGTCCCTATGAGCCCTGGACACAGTTCTTTGGTGGGCACCCCTGGGCCATAATAACAATGTCTCTCATTTCTACAGGGTATTAAAGCGTAAAGAATTCCACTCCCAACTTCACTCTCTAACAGCCTTGTAAGATACAAAAAGGAAGTACTATTATGACCATTGTACAGATGAAGAAAATAAAGGTTAAGGAAAATTCAATAATTTAGTTTGCAGGCCTTGCTGGCTTCCAGAAAGGGGTCAGACTGTCCAGCTCTACACACCTACTGTAGCCAAGACCTGAAATTCACCACAGAGCAAATAATGATTAAGAAAGCCAGTGATAAAGTGGTATAAGTAACTTGTTCCATCTCAAAATTGCACAAAAAGCCAAAATCCAAAGGGCAGTAACATAGAGGGACATCATTAAAGCCAGCGCCTACACAGGTAGACATCAACAGTTACGGAACAGAAACCTGTGTGTTAACTGCGAAGCCTCTGTGTTTGGAGGTCACAAGGATAGAGGGCCCCCTGAGAAAAGCCCAGGGTGGTCAGAAGGGCCCAGGGGGAAGACTCTGGATTCCTTGGGTAATGGCTATGACCAGGGCAGCAGGAAAGTGCTCCTTACTGGACATCACAGGCCCCAAGGGGACAGCCCTCTGTCCTGAGATGCCGAGACAGTCATGAAGATACAGCACTGAACTTCAAAGTTTCCGGAGTGGAATGCAGTCCAGTAATCTAGAGGACCAACAATAAAATTGGATCATTATCTACCAGAGTTACCTCATTCCCCAAACCCCCAGCATTGGTTAGGAAAAGGGCATACAACAAGGACTTGATTGGCCCCAGGGTGGGACAAGGCTCAATCCTGACTCAGCCGCTGGTGGGTTCCGAATATGTTAATGTGGCTTCCTGTTCAGTTAAGGGTAGAAGTCTCCAAACTATGCGTTAGCACTGCCTGTCCAGCTTAACAGAAATTTTCATGGAGACAACATCAGAGGGGATCAGGGTGGGGATATCTGGGGAAGTTAGCTTGCTGCATCTCTTTGCTATGTTAACGCTAAGTAAACCTACTTTGGGTAATTATTCAACAGCTTTCAAGTGTTACATTTTATTCCAACATCAAATCTAAAACTAACAGGGTGCTTGTTTCTGGACCCCCTTTATCATTGATATGGTCAATAATTGAAATGAAATGGCATGGCTCCATGGCCCATATCATGGTTTAGCTGTAGGAAGGCCAGTGTGAATACAGAGGGTGAGGTAATCAGAGCATTGCAAGACCTGGCACTATGGAACTGAAGGCAAGGACCCATTCTAGCCCTTTATGGGGATTCCTCTAAATGGAACAGGGGAGAAGCACTCACTCACACAAAGCTATTAGCTCCATGGTGCTGGAGGTGACTGCCAGAGAGAGAAGAGAAAACACCATGTTCTAGAATTCTCTTGTCATTGTTGGCCATCCTGAAGAAGTGGACTGCCAACATAGTATCGTTGTTTGTCCTTCATTCTTGAAAGACTATGACATCAGGGAGGTGATGCTATGACATGCAGATGAATTGGATTTAAGTGAGGGAGGGCTGTGTGAAGTCACCAGCCTCACCTTCTCCTCTGGAGACATCTGAGTCCAGTGGCAAGATATAGATCACGACAACTAGAGATGGCTCTGGATGCAGTGGGAGACCTTGGCCTTTTAAAGCTAAGATCTTTCCCAGGTCTCAGTCCGACAGAGGCAAAACCTATTTAGTGATTAAATGCCAGCATAATAAGATTGAAAGTGAACTGTCCTAGTGACAGTGTTGGGATCTGGGCCCCAGAAAGGAAAAACCCCGGGACTTTCCCGCATGGCCAAATTCTCTGGAGTTCTTCTGAGGTTATAATCCCATCAACTGGCCTTTCATTGTGGCTACACCCAATCTCCCCTCCATTGTCTTACCTCCCTATGGCCCCTGGCCATTTCCCACACTTAATCCTAGCTAGGCTCCATTGTCCAGGTCCCAGGAGTTCTGTTCACTCCATCTTACTGGCCACTCCCATCCAGATCTCCTTAGATCCCTCCCACAGTCTTTCTGTATATAAGGTCCATCTTGTCTCCATTAAGATGCTTAGATTCTTATAATCTAGCCAATAGCTCACTAATGTTCTGACTCCTTCAGAGTCTGCTCAATATGATGGATGTTCTAATAAACCTTGTCTTTGGCTGAAAGAAGGCTTGGGTCAAATTGCTTTGGATAGGACCCACGTGTTGTGATTTTGGGGTCCCAGGACCCCTGAAACTCTAAACCATATCACTAGCATATTCAGCAACTAGAGGCAGAGCTCGTCTTTTAAGTACCTCCTAACGAAGACCCAGGGACAACTAAAAGAGCTGGTGGCAGCGCAACTGAAGGAATCTCTTCTACTAGGGGTGGAAACCAACAGAGTTCTGCTAGGAACTTGCATGGTCTCTGATCCAGAGGTGTGAGGGGTGGCCTAATCTGCAAGCAAAACCACTGAGGCAGAGCTCTGATCCAATGGCACTTTATTAGAGGGTCCATGGTACCCTCTAATGAAGTGGACTCCAGATTTTCCTCATAATCTGAGAGTCACCTAGTCCTCAAGACCTTATTTTATACAGTTTGATACCCAAACATGGTAAAAGACAAAATATCATTGGTTGATAGACATTGCTTTTGAAAGGCAAAATGACATTTCAGCAGCAGTATCGCAGGTTAGGCATCTCCGTTGACTAAGTGGTCATGATGAGGTCTAGAGGTTAGGGGTCCTGGAATCCCCAAAATCATAGGACACACGGGTCCTGCCCAAAAAAATTCGAACCAAGCCTCCTTTCAGCCAAAAACAAGGTTTATTGAAGATCTGCCATATTAGCTAGACTCTTAAGGAATCTGAGCATTTATGGGATATTGGCTAGTTTATAAAAATCTATGCATCTTAATGGAGACAAGATAGACCTTATATACAGAAAGACTGGGAGGGATCCAGGAGTGGTCAAGCAGCCTATGAGGTAATAGAATTCCAGGGAAATGGAGCCTAGGTGGGACCAAGGGTAGGAAGGGCCATAGGGAGGCAAGACAATGGAGGTCCAGGCTAAGTAATTGGCGATTGAGTGTAGCCAAAACAATGGAATCATAGCCTCAGGAGAACGCCAGAGATCTCCTTGATCAAGTGGGAGAATTCAAGGACAATCCAAAGGTTTTCTAGGGCCCATAGACAAATGGAGCCCAAATTGGACAAAGGTCTCACTTTGGGCCCATATGATGGTCACTTCCTCATGTTGGACAAGAGAGTGGTCCAGAGGCACAAAAAAAATTGGGAGACTTTCCAAAGAAGCGAAGCATCCCACCAATGCTGAGTTTGGACATGGAATTTGAGCAAAAGAGGATAGAGCATTCTTGTGGTTGTGCAGGTGAGCCTCATATTTTGGCAAACAAGTAGTGAACATCACATTAAAGTTTGAGGCCCATTATAAAGGCCTACTATGAGAACCTATCTTATCTAATTATCCCTATATGATTTAGGTAAAATATCAAACTGACTAATACCAATTGGAACACAGTAAGGGTCCAAATGAATTGTTTCTCACAAATGCAGGCTCTGCTCTGTCCTGCAGAAATAAGTCTTGAGGCAGGAGAATGAGAGCAGAAGGGAGGAAGAGACTGGGGAGTGCCCCCTTGCGGTTTAAACAAATGCTGGAGACTCAGTAGGAGAATTTCTTCCCCTGAGGGAGCAGGATGAATGGTGGATGACCCTTCGCTACCAAGGCCTGAGGATGTCATAGAAGTTCCAACAGAAATCTGATGAGTCCCTGGAGCCTTGGGCCTGAGAAAGTGATCCTAATGGAGCCAAAGCTGAGACATCTGATGAAGTTCCCCAGGGGAGCTCTCCAAGGATGTTCTGTTACAGAGTCAGTTGAACCAATGACAGTCTCCTGATGGGGATCACCCTTTGTCCCTTCAGGTGGCCAAATTGAGGAGTTATTGACTCTGTCCCCAGAAAGCTGAATTCTCACTGCAGCCTACTCCCAGATGGGGATCTGCAAGGGAGAGGGTGAAGTTGGTAAAGGAAATGGGTTTGCTAGATTGGGTCTATGCTCCCCCGTGGTCTGCCACAGCCTATGCCCAGTCTGGGGGGCAAGGGAGCTGGCAATGAGATTCTGCCTGCTGGGTGGAGTCCATCAGAATGGCAGCAGACTTTAGCTAGAGGTCTCTCCCCAACACACTACTTACTATACATGTGCAGCCTGATTATAAAATTTTGTGAAATCTGAACAAGAGGTTGGGACAGCTGTGGTTTGGGAGGGAAGAAAAAACAAACCTGTTGTGCTTTCAAGAGGTTCTCTGAGAATGGAGAGAGAAGTCACAGAACCTGCTGAGTGGGTCCCCCTTCTTCCGGGGGGAGCTTTGACTGTGGCTCCTGAAGCATGGGGTTGATAAGAAAGCGTTGATGTCCAGCCTATGGGAGTGCCAGTAAAGCTAGACATTGGAGCAGTAGAGGCCCTTCATCCCCACTCAATCCCAATGCATCCTCTAAAGCCCCTGCCCTATTTGATCATTCAGGAGAGGTTGTAGCGGGAAGATCAAGGAGGAAAGGAACAGCCTGGCCTCTTGGAGACCTTTAGAAACCTCGGTGAAGTATATTGTGAGAGGGCCAGAAGGAAACCCTTAGAGTAGCCTGAACTATGCCATGGAGTTAGCACCAAATAATATTGGGTCCCCAGGGGGGATGAAGGATATTTCTTCTCTAGTGATGGAGATGAAAGAAGCTAGAGTACTTTGTCATACTAGCTCTCCTTGCAAAAGCCCTGTGCTACTTATGAGGAAGACAGATGAGATCTAACAGCTTCCTGTGAACTACAAGGGACTGAACAAAGTTGACCATAATTAATGTTGTTTCTGATAGGTAACTCTATCCCAGCATGAGAAGTAGGGGGAAAACAGACCTCCCCAGTGTTTCTCTATTTCTGTACCTGGGACTAGACCGGAGCAGTTTGATTAACCTAGTAAGGAATTAAGTAAAACTTTCACTGCCTTTCTGCAGGGCTACTGGAATTCTCCTTCACACTGTTAGTCAATTAATAAACATTTATTAATCTCCTACTATGTGCCAGAGGGCAGCTAGAGTGCCCTGCCTGAAGTCAGGAAGTCTCATCCTCCTGAGTTCAAATCTGACCTCAGATACTTCTTAGCTGTGTGACCCTGGGTTGTCACTTAACTGTTGGTTTCCTCAATTTCCTCAACTGTAAAATGAACTGGAGAAGGCAATGGCAAACCACTCCAGAATCTTTGCCAAGAAAACCTTAAATGGGGTCATGAAGAAGTGGACATGATCAAAATGTCTGAACAGCCACATGTTCCAGGCGCTGCACTAAACTGGGGATACAAAGAAAGGCAAAAGCCAGTCCCTGTCCTCAAGAAGCTTACAGTCTATTGAGTAAGACTGCAAGCAAAGTAATATGCACAAAGAAGCTATATATAGGATAAATAGGAAGTAATCACCAGAGGGAATGCTCCAGAATAGAGGGATCAGAAAGGACTTCCTGTAGAAGATGGGATTTTTGTTTGGACTTGCACATATCAGAGAAGCCAAGAGGAGAGAGGAGGAGGGAGACCATTCCAGGCCTGGAAGCCAGAGAAAAGGCTCTGACCAGAGAGAGTCCTCTTGTGGTAGGAGCAGCTCAGAGGCCAGGGTCACTGGATGGAAGCCCTGGGGGGATTTAAGGTAGAAGAAGACTGAAAAGTTGAATGGGTTGAATGGCTAGGTTATGCGAGGTTCTGAAGGAAAACAGAACTTTGTATTTGATCTTGGAGGTGATAGGGAGCCGCTGTTTAACTGAATCCTAATTTTAAAAGCTTTTCTAGAGAGCCCTCTGCTGGCAAAAAAGCTGACCTGCATGAGCAGTGAGCAAAAACAAGAGCTGCTGGTTTTTTTCTGAGACTTAACAGCTGACAGAGCTTCACAGCCACTCTCTCTAGTAAGCCTCCCAACTACCTGAGGGGGAGGCACACAGGTTATTCTGACAGCCTGAGAGATGAAGGACTAGGCTCAGAGAGTGAAGACTCTTGTCCTGGGTCACACAGCTTCTAAGTGGGGTAAGG